GTATTGAACATTAACATAAAAGGTCAATAGGCTGAAGTGAACAACTAGGATCATCATTATAACTTATATAGAGTCAATATTCTGTGTTTGAACCATTTTACATAATTGCAATTAAACTAATACAAGCAAGACAAATGTCATATTCTAACTACGATGGACATCATCAACTCTTGTGAGTAAGAATAATACTTCAGAGTGGAAAAGATTGGAAAGTCTCGTGAAATCAATAATTATTTTAAGAATGATGAACAAATTTTTTAGCTCTGGAGTATAATCCTAAGATAAATATCAAACCTTGTTGTAATTTTCTTTTTTTTTTCAGATTTTAATATTTGTTAACCATAAAAAAACAAATATATTAACTATATTAGTTTGAATTTTACAAAATATATGTGTATCGAAAACACTGTTAAACTAACAATTTTAAATACAAATGTATCTTTGAAAAGCATACTTATTTGTAATCACAGTTGAAAATTGTTTTCAATGATCAACAATTAATTGTTTCATACCACACAAAAATCTAACCTTAATTGGTCTCAGACTTCATCTCATTGGTACATTGAAATTTGTTTCTGGACATTGATGCACGTTAGATCTAATCTGACGTTACTGAGCTTTGTCTCTGTATCACCTAGGTATCACCTAAGTTGTTAAATAATTTTACCGAGGTGTTAAGCCTCTTGACCATTTATTTAGAATTGATTATTTGTATAATGACCTCTAATTTCATCTGTCCAATGTGATAAGGTTCTCAATAATTGATTTAAATTAAACTCAAACTATGTGTATACATCAATAACCCCTCATATATTATTCCCCTATTCACAATTTTACTTCACTAATCCATTGCTCAACAACAACATAAAGATGCAGTACAAAAGATCTGTTAATGTTGCTAATACTCTGATTCAACATATGATTCAGAACAGAACTTATGAATTTATTATTATTATTACATTCATATTCACTGAATATGTGATTTTATCAAAGAATCTAAGGTACAGAATATTGTCACTTTCATGCAAATAGAATACCAATTTTATTTTAATTGTGGATGCTGCGGTTAGCGCTTACAGACCAACACAATTTACAAATAAAGATAAGTTATCCTATATAACATATTAAGTCTAACATTCATAATGAAAACAATAGAGCTAAACTGCTAAAAATTGCAGCTAATTTGAACTGCACTGACTTGCAACAATGACAGCATCTACGACTCAAGACACATAATATCATAATATTCGCAAATAACAATGAAATTATTAATGGCGTGGATGATGAATGTCTATGCATCTGATAAAAATGCATATGCATTTATGGCTTGGTACTCGTGTGTAGTATGAAATAAAAATTACAAGCAAATGCCGAGTTCAATGCATCAATATGTTGCAATCGAAAATTGCGGAAATATTTCTACAAAATGATTAGAAATTGTATACGATAAGGAAAAAATAGATTAACAACAAACTAGCAAAGCAATAATGACAGATGCGAAAGACTTTAAGTACCAACTTTTTGAAGAGTGAAAGTAAATGTTTTTGAATAGGAAACAAACATAATAAAATATATAAAATAATTACGATATTAACTATTATTGTCTGACATTTGATTTCATTAATTATTTTTAGTAAAAACAAAATGACTAAAAAGTTTCTAAGCCATTGTTTTTAATTATATATTCAAATATTTAAGTTAACATTGCAATTTGACTATCCTATTGTAACTTAAATCGAGTTATTCAAAATAAAATGATTGCTAACAATCTAACCTTACAGCTTTCTTTAAATGTGATTTAAATGACAGTTAATATTTTTAACTAAAGAAAGCATTAAACATTAAACATATAATATATAAAGAAGAAGCTTCTCAATATCTATCGTCTAACCTCAATCTGATTAGTTAACTTGGTTCCACTGCTGGAAAATTAAAGTTGCCGCTAAAATCCCAGTAATTTTTCAATTAAGGAGGAGAGATTGTCAAGAGGTTTTACATGGTGGTTCAACAAATTATTCACAATTTTTAAATAAAAACTTCGTAAAGTATCTCGGCATACTTGTTATTAACTTTTAAAGATATTTATTTGACTATTGGAATTATTTTTCACCCAACAAATAGATGGTTTCCCACCATTAAGTTGAAAAAGAACGTATATATATTTCAGAATTCAAAAAATTTAACTTAGTTATACAAAGCCACTGTCGTTAACCTATAACGATTCACTTAAAACGGAAATTGAACAATTTTGTTAATACTAAAATAATTTTTAACATTTTACGTAAAATTTAAATACTTGATAATTATATCTCGTGTAATGGCGTTATATATAATATGAATATATATTTTATTGGAACGTGAGTAGAAATATTCTTCAAGCATTTGATAAGAGTTTATAAAGTCCGCATTCATAAATATGGTTTTAGTTTATCTTTTTAATTTTGACACGCTGTGTTTTAGTAGTAAATCAACAACAGATATAAATATATAAACTAATTTAACATAAAAATTCTTAATTTTAAATACAATTCATAATAAAAAAGTATATAACATATACTATACTTGTAATATATACAGAAACAATTAAATTAAAATCTTCAGATTAGTATACTACTAAGTGTTCTCGATAAATTGAGAACGCAAGGAAGAACACATCAATGTTCCAATAAAGTATATATAATCTTGAGTAACTCGACAGCGCAAATTTATCGAACGCCTATCTGTTTTAACGGAAATCAGTCTATAAGTTTTTAATATATACAATATACAAATGAAATTTTGTATGCAGAGTTCTTCAATATATTCTGTAATATTTATTGGAATGACCACTATCGGATGACTATATTCCATATAGGTGTGTAAAGTAAGTTAAACATTCAGAACATATGACTTTTTACTACATATTAAACTATTGAGTAGTTATTTGATGCTAAAACAATGCAGATAATTATTATTATTATCTTTAATAATTCTCATTGAAATTAGCTTAATCTTTTATGGGATTTTATAGAAAGAAAGAGCAAGAATGTGCCAACCATTCGAATACAAACTATCCGAAAATTATGAGAGCTTTTTTACAGATTACATCTCGGTTAAAAGTAAAAATGGATATTCTCTTCCATACAAATTTTTTCGACTCTTCACACAAAAAAATTATCTCTTATAGTTAAATAACTTTAAAATGATACACAACCCTTTGACATGCTATATCTTGATTATTGAAATGGATCGGATCTACCTTGGTTCGACTGAGAAAATTTAACAACCTTGATAGGTTTCTTATTAAATTTAATACTTCTAACATACTGTTGCTAAATAAACAGCTTTATGAGGTGAATTTATTTATATACATTGTTCCATTATTCTATCTAGATCGTGTTCCAGAAGTCCGAAGGTTCGTCTATTACTATTAATAATTTCTTTTACCTGCAAATGCGTATAGAGACTCGTTTCTGGTATTAATTATACATGATTTTTGCAAATTATAATGGCAAGTGTTAATGTATGAACGGATTTACAGTTTTTTTCGCATAATTGTACTTAACATGTTTTATAAGCCTACATTACCGAAAAAAAAGAAAAAAAAAAAAAACAAGGGGAAGCATTTATGGTTGCGCCTATACAAAAACGCTTAAGTGCAAATTCAAGTGTAAATAATTGCGGCACAGTTTTGAGTTTTGAAGGTCTCTAATATAATATATAGATATACATATGTTCATATAATTGCAATAATAATTAAACTTAAATACTTTTTCAATATCAGTAAATTGAAAACAAAACAAAATAAAAGTGACGCAAAGGACAAGTGAAGAAGTGCTACTCAACAATCTATTATCTTAAAGTTGTTTTTGTTTTAATTGAAATAAGCAACAATATATCATATAAACGGAATGTACTTGTTTTAATAAAGACAAAAGAGTAAATGAGCAAGTGTTTGGCTAATGAAGGTGGCAAAGAAGAAGCTTCAAGGAATACCAGTTTGATGAGAACAGATACAAGTTACGGATATATTCTCTATACGAACAATAATAAAGCAAATACCACGAATGAAAAGTATTTTATTTATTTTGATTAAACAAGAATTTAAACAAACGAAATGCAAATGAGCCAAAATATTTTGAAAATTTAAGTTGACTTCACGCTATTCGTAGGTGTGTACTCCAGCAAATTTAATATAGCCAAGTCGGGAGTGGGCGGCAGAGCAAGGTTGCAATACATCTACCCGCAGCCGCATCAACAATTTAAGGCAGAGCAGCTAGAGCAGCTATAGCAGCTGATGAAAAGAATATAAACGACCATAAAATGTATAGAAGGAATTATAAAAAACAAGTAATGAAAATTAAAGGATATAAGGGTGACGCTGGATAATCATGTACGCGGCACCTACATTTCGCTGTGCGATAAAATGGACAACAAAAACCCTGGTAGGAAAGAGCATTTTCCTTTAGTTGTGTACGAGTCAAGTTACAGAAACAGCGCAGGTTTTACCAAAAGCAGTACATTTGTACTCGTTAAATGCACGGCAATGTGGTTGAGGGTAGAGGAGGCTGTGTAGACAATTGGTACTGAAAATGGGTGGTGTGTTGTGTTGTGTTGGTAAGAGTCTGAAATGACGCAAGGTGGAGGCTGGCACAACGGTATCGATAAGAAATATAATTGCCACTGCCCTAAAATTTATTCATTATATAAAAAACATATTAAATATAAACAAATTAATATTATTCTACTTAAATAAAAAGAACCAAATGGTGTTTAAAAAAATATTAAATCTTATAGACAACTTACGACGGCAAACTAATTTAGCAATTATTTTTCACTATTGTATTCCCATATTACGTTAAAGAAATTAATACATAAATTCCATTTTTATAAGAATTAATTTATTTCGAATTTTGGTTTATTAAACTTTTTAATACTTTTTTCTTCTTATTTTGCAAACGTCACATCACTTTTCACTTTTTTCCAAAAAGTTTAACATCTAGTTTAAATGATTAAAATACCTTTCATTATTGCTCTACTTAAAGCCAATATTAATCACTTTCATTTAATTTTCACTAATATTTTATCACCTCCAAAATTTTTCATTAATTAATTAAGATATAATCATTATATTTCTACCAAATTAATCCTCGATACGTTACTCTCCCGACTACTTCAATTTTTCAACTGACTTCTTTTTTCTTGTATTCTCTATTTTTTTATTTACTAATATTTCTTTTTTGTACACAAACCATATGGTTGCCAACACTTATAAGAATGGGGTTGCTTTAAAAAATTACCCATTACTCATTAGAGCACAAGCAATAAAATTGTTTGCAGAGAAGTATTATATTTTGGATCCAAAAGTTGAAGTTAAAAAAAATGGATTATGCATTGGTTAATTATTCTCAGCTGAAAAACCTATCTTTTTCACTATGTGTGTTTAAGTAGATTTTTCTAACATAATATATAGATTATATATAAAACGTTTAATTCTAATAATATCTTTTTAACTATACAAAAACCAATTTATTTTTTACTAAAGCGAATTCAAATTAAAAACAAAGCAATATATTTTATAAAAATCGTTTGTTTAATAAACTTACTGAATATATTTTATACCAATTTACGTACAATCCTGAAACTATAATTGACTCTATTTAGAAATTGCAAAAATTAACTAAATATGTTTAACACATTTAAAGTTTCTTTATTAAACTGTTGTTAACTTAAAAGGTCTCAGAACTGTACTAAATAGATAGCATCTCTAAGTAGTTTCATGAGTTGGAAATAACAACCAATAAGAGAGATAAGTATTATATATTTATATATGTTATATCCAGAAATAAATCAAATTTGCTTTTTACTGTTAATTATATGTTAAATTTATATAAAAAACCTGTTCATTATTTAAATTTTTATTTGCTTAATATACATATATTTTTTTATTGTGATATTAATAAAGTATGAAAACAGAGCATGAAAATGTATAATACCTTTTTATTCCGAATGCAACTCTGTTGAAGCGGCATTTTACAATACATACATTACAAAACCTAGCAAAAGTACAGTGGATCGTATAATATTAAATAAATTAGTTACCATCCGAGAAATATATTTAAAATTACTGGAATTAAAAAATGTCTGATAGCGAGCAAAATGTACCAGAAGGCTGGGAAGTACGCACGTCTCGTTCTACAGGTAATAACCATTAGTCTAGTGTCCGCTGAAATCGATTTCTTTGATTTATGCATATATTTGTTTATAAAGGTTTGAAGTACTATTTAAACATATACACAAAGGAATCACAGTGGGATTTACCAACGGCTAAAGCTAACGAACCAAATAAAAAAGACAGTCCTAGTCAGGTACGGTGCTCACATCTACTCGTAAAGCACAAAGGTAGTCGCAGGCCCAGTTCTTGGCGTGAAGAAAACATAACACGCAGTAAAGAAGAAGCACGTGCTATTTTGGAAGACTATCGTCAAAAGATAGAGGATGGCGAAGCCAGTTTAGAAGAATTGGCTCAACAATATTCCGATTGTAGTTCTGCTAAAAGGGGTGGAGACTTAGGAATGTTCGGCAAAGGTGATATCATTGTTGTTAAATAAATAAAATATTTTATAATGATGAGTTTATTGTCACAGGACAAATGCAAAAACCGTTTGAAGAAGCTGCATTTAATCTTAAAGTTGGAAAAATGTCTAAAATTGTGGATACGGATTCTGGCTTGCATATCATACTTCGAACTGCATAAATATTTATAAAGAAATCTGAGTGATTGCATTAATATACAAGTTGTTTTCTTTTTTTATTTGCAAAGTTATTTAAATTTATATTTTCTGCATTTTTAAATAAAATTAATCTGAATTTAATTTTTTTAAAAGCAACTGTGCTCCTATTAATTTACTATGTTCCAATACTTCATCATTTTGCAGCAATTCTTTCAATGTGTCAGAGGTTTTCGTGTTATTTTCCATAATATTGAGTAGCACAAAGTATGCTCGATTAATGTTGCTCCAACTCTTAATCTATATGAGAAAAAAATTAATATATATAGTTCATATAATTTTTTTTTATATATTACCGTTTCTTTTGTAATATTGTTTGTTAAAATGTTTCCGAATGTTTCAGCGTTTTCATTTTGAGATAAACGTTCTTTATCATTCTTAAGGATCTTTTTTAACACAATATGTAGACCAGGTTCTTCAACACCAAGTTGAGTGCTTATTTCTTGATCCTAAAAGAAAACATTTATTATAATAATTATAATATATTTCAATATTTAAATATACTTCAAGATAAGTAGTTTTGTGTTTATCTTAAGCTATATGTAATAAATATACCTCAGCAACTTCTTCCTTCTCATCCTCACCATCACTGTCTGAATTATCTTTAATATTTTCCGTCTCTAATTTAATAATTTTTTCTCTCTTTTGTTTTTTTATTTTATTGGCTTCAGTAACAAATTGTTCTATATCGTGGACCTTTTTTTTTGTTTTTTTTTCATTAGCATCTTTTACCACAGATACTGTCCACGTTGGATTTGCAATTACAGTAGCCAGGGCTTTTGCTGCTTCAACGAAGTAATTATCCGTTACTGAAAAAGAGAAAAACAAAAATCGTATAGAAACATAAAATTATATGTAATTAGAAAAATAATTACATTTTTTTAAGATTTCTGCTGTTACCAAACCAATATGTCTATCAGACAGCCAAAACTCTGGTTGGGATGTAATGTCATTTGCTATTGGTTCTTCAATTTGTTCAAAAATCTCTTTTCTACGTATTTCTTTGTCTTTTTTACCGTACTCCAGACCTTTATCAATCGTATTTATAAAGCCTGGATGAAAACAGTTAGTATCGGCTGGCGCAACCAACCATTCAATAACACTACGTCCCCATTGATTTGACATGAGAGTTTTAAGTTCTGGATGAATTGTATCGAAAATAGCTTTTTTTGTTGCTTTTGTATCATCAAGTGAATTTAAGACTGCTATTATGAAAATATGGCCGTGCTCATGACTGCAAATCTTTGTCAGATGTTCCTTAATTGTCTTTATGATAGCCTAGTAAAAAATGTTCAAAATCTATTTCAATATAAAAATTATAGCACTTACTCTGCGATTCTTTGCAGTTGATTTATAAAAAGTTATTATTGCAGCTTGGCAGCCATCTTTAGTTGTTACCATAAGAGGTATTAAAGATGCAAACATGGTTACTGCTTCTTCAATTTTATCATCATCACATTCATTTAAATATTCCAACATTACAGAGTGAACTAAAGAGCTATCGACTAGTTGTTTATTGGCGACATGTTCTAAATTTGTTTTAACGGATCCCAATATAGAAGCTTTCATATTGGATGTATCTTTGTAGGCGTCCGCAAGCTGTTTAACACTATCATCTTTAGTTTTCCTATAGAGCTCTCCATAAAATTCTTGGCGCATATACGCTTGTTGTTTCGGATTTGCCACAGTTAAATACACGTGGTCGAGAATTTTACTGGATATACTATGGCAGGCCAATTTTACAATGTTGCTCATAAAACTATCGACAAGTTTTGATTTGGTGATTGGAGAACCATATTTGAACATACGCAGTACACAGAAATGTGAATACTTTGAAACGGACATGTCCACGGATAAAGGTAATAATTTCTAAAATGAAATATAATTTAAATAATATATTTTTATTATAAGAAATTACATACATCAGATAACTGCTCCCTTAACGCTGGTGATGCGAATTTCAGCATACATTGTATGATGCGGGCTGTATCATGTGCCATCACAAGTTTCTTTATGACATCGTTGCCACCGACCAAATTGTATAGTTTTTCTACTAATTTGCTCTTGTCCTCGGTGCGTCGACTAAAAATGATAGTGATAATTTCATTTATTTCTGTAATTAACAACAACAAACTTTTAGGAAATACCATTTTAATTTTTCATAAATTTGTTTCGCTTCAATAGAAATTTGATATGAATCCTTTGCTTGTTTACGCTTAAGTTTAAGCTCCTTTTTATCTTTTTTGAATTTATTCCAATCCGTTTTTTCATTTGTCTTGCCTTGTTCATTCTTTCCTTTAGTATTTTTGTTTACAAATTTCGCATTAGCTGTTTTATTACCGCCAGGCTTAAAGTTCTTCTTGTTAGCGTTCTCATTATGTCCGGACTTTTTTATCGGTTTTGGTGTTTTATTACTTTGATCATCATCCCTTTTAAATTTTTTTGGCGACTTAAGTTTTTTATTATCCTTCCGACCATTATTTGCAGAGCTTTTTTCTGCTGGACGTTTGTTTGCACCCTTTATCATATTTTAACTTCACTCTTATAAACAAATCCACCAACGAATCCACGTGCTTGGAACGATAAATAAAAAAACTAACACAAAACAACTGATTTTGCGAGTGATGCCAGACATTACGGTTTTAAAATAGTCATATGTTGTTGAAATATATTGAAGACCATTTTGCACGAAAGAAAATATTCTGAATGCCTGAATATATGCGACAATCAGCTGTTTGAAAGAAACATGCGAAAAATAAATGGTAATATAATAAGGAAAGTTCTGAAAACAGAAATGCTCAATTAAGAGGAGAGACTAATATGAAAAAAAAATTTCTTGAGATATGTAGCGTCAGTGGAATATAGACAATAGAATGAAGATGATAACGTTTAGATATAGTTTTATTAATATTAATTTATGTTAGATCCTGATCCTGATGATGACTCTCAGGGAGAGTCAATTTATAGAATATATTAAAAATTATAAAACAAACGTTGAATTTTAATTTTAACAAAAAGTGACCAATAGCCGAACAAAAAATATATATATATAAACCATTATATAATGGAATATTTTTTTATATCTTAATTTAATTTCGAATATGGCAATAATGGTGGACACATAAATTTCATTTCATTTTGCTTTGTAACAACATTCTCTCGCTACATTTGCCGCTTTTTTATGGGCATTCGTCGCCGCGTCTTCTTACATACACAATTTTTTCACTGGTTGTTAATTTTGTTGTTTGTAAAGTGTGTGTAACTTATAAGCCAAAAAAGCATAGATTCGTTTTTAATTTTAAATTAGTATTTTCGTAAAAAAATATTCTTAATATGGGTCGTGTGCATAAGAAAAAAATTGCAGAATTTATTGGTGCTGATATCGGTAGCGATGCCGAAGCAATGGATGAATCTGATGCATCCGGCGGCGCATCAGAAGAAAATGGTAGTGATAATCGTCGAAAGCGTAGTGATAAAAAAGCAGATGATGATGAGCAGGATAATGAGGAAAGTGATGCCAGCGTTACATCGAACAAACGCCAAAAGTCACTTTCAAAGTCATCGTCTGTTGATAAAGCTGACGAAGACACTACGCAAGAAAATGATGATTCCAATAAAAAACAATCTCGTAAATCTTCTGTAAAGACCAAACGTGGTGCAGGCAAAGATAATAACGTTTCAGAAGGTGAAGTTGAAACAGATGAAGCTCCAAAGAAACGCGCTCGCAAATCCACTGCAAAGGAAAAAGCTGCTGCTGAGGAAGAAGAAGAGGATGAAAGTGAAGCCGAACCAGAATATGAGGTATGTAATAAAAAATATTAATCATATATTCGTAATAGATTTTAAAAATTAATTAATATTTAGGTTGAAGCAGTTATTGACAAAAAAGTTGAAAAAGGCGCCACATATTACTTGTTGACTTGGAAGGGTTACCCAAAAGAAGATGCAACTTGGGAACCGGAAGACTCTATCTCATGCCCGGATTTAGTTGAAAAGTTCAACAAAAAGGTATAATCATCTGTTATTATACATGTGTGTGCGTATGTACGTATGAGTAAGCGTTCGAAAAGTACAGTCACGTAAATATTTTTTCTATGTTTTGTACATCACGTTTTGATTTTTGTTTGTATGTTTATTTTTGTTAAAGACAAGTCAACTCCATAGTGTCTTTTTATTTCTGTTATAGTAATGACGAAGTTAGAGCCATTAAAAAACTCTATTAAAAAACCAACTATTAAAAAACTCCTTTTAATCCCTAATCCCCCTTGAACTTTTCTCTAATATCACTTTGCCACACTATGATAGCCCAAATTGGATTAGCAGAAAATTTTTACAAAAATTACAAAGTATGAAGTGTTTACATAAAATTATTCTTGATTAGTGTGTAAATGAGAATTTATTATATTAAAGTTAGTATGCCCATCTGCCTGGGAAGAAATTTTGTCAGAATAACAGAAATTCATTATATACATAGACCTTATACTTTCTAGCGGTTCTATAGACATTAAAAAATGCATTTAATTGAAATTGAGCAATCAACAGAAGTATTAATCATCTGTTTCATATTCTTTTCGAAGCTTTATGTCGTATTCTAATAATATGTCGTAGACAAGATACTTTAAGTTACTCAAAGATATTTTTTGTCAAATTGATAAGTCATATCTTTTGATTTATATATATTAAAGCTACAATATACAATAAAAATTCTCTAAGCGAACATTTATCGTCAGTTATTTTGTGATTGCTCAAGAGACATAACGAAAGTAATATAGCCCCTGCTGGAAAGGTACCCACACACTCATCTTTTTCAAATTTCCTAACCCATGTAATCTAACCCGTTTTTTTTCTGCTCTGTATGTATTCATGGGTTACAACTACAGACTTTTATTTTTTTAAATATTGATAAAAACACAATATATAGTTTTAGAAAATGTGTGCCCGTTAAGCAGTGGTGTTGCTTCAGTAGATTTAAATATAGTTCGGTGATAACTATATAGGTCAGTCTCACGGAAAAACGATTATCATAATGTTATAATAACTTTGAATTAAGAATAAAATTTGTCGCGCGCGATTGCAAACCTAATCAGAAATCAATCAATATAATTAAATTAATTTTGTTGCTTTTATAAACGACACTTAAGAAAGTATTTGTTTTTATTTTTTAGCGTGCCGCAGAATCAACTAAAGGTTCTAAAAAAGGCGTTGATGCATCCAAAAAGGGCTCCACCAAAAAAGATTTGAAAAAGACTGCTTCCTCTAAAGCTGCAAAGGCTAAGAACGGTGGACAGGCTGATGCTAAGGAGGGTGAAGCCACTGAATATGAAGTGGAGAAAATTGTTGATTATGCCACAGAAAAGTCAGGGCGAATCTTTCGTATTCGCTGGAAGGGATATCGTCCTAAACATGATACCTGGGAACCCGAGGACAATCTTACATGTCCTGAACTTATTGAAAAATTTTTGAAGCAAGTAAAGCATCAGGAAGATAACTCGCGTGAACTTCGCGAGGAACCGAAGAAAACCAAGTTCCTGGTAGACGAGACTCAGCCCAGAACTAGTTTTCGAAGTCGTATAGAACGTAGTTCACAACGTTCATGCGCACGCCAAAGGTAATGATTTGCCACGCTTATCTAATTACTTTATGTAGTTAGTTTTTCAATTTTAGAAAATTCTACGGCGATGCAGAGAACTAGAGATCAACAGATTCTTACTATATACAAATAATCACAATTAATTTTTTATCGACATAATTTTAAAATTACAACAAAAAAAAATCGCAATTAATAAGAAACTAAATCACATACATACCAAATATGTATGCATGTAAAATCATTCATTAAATACAAATAATAATAAAAAAAGAGACCACTCTAGTAATAATTATTAGCTTTTATTAATTATAATTCGTTTTCAATTAAAAATTTTCATTATAATAAACACAATTTTTAAAGTCCGGATTGTACGCCGAAACCGGGGCCTTTTGGTTCTTCAGTTAAAGATGTGGGCTCTCCAGCAGGCTCGCTTGCAAAGCGACCACTCCTTGGTCCTGCAGGAGATTTGCGATCAGCCTTACAATCATCAAGAATTGCCTTCATATCCTTTGCCGTTAAGTCTTCCTATAAATAATTGAACTTAATTATTAATATTCAAGAACATAATTGTACTCGCTTACGTAGTAATCATCATTAACGGCCACCATAGGTGCGTTCACACAAGCACCCAAACATTCAACTTCAGAAATGGTAAATTTACGATCTTTTGTAGTTTCACCAACTCCAATTCCAAGAGTTTTCTAGGTATGAACCAATAAAAATGTATAATATATTTATTAAATATGTATGTATTTATCATATATGTGTATAGATATTTCTTATTGGATAAAGGGGTATGATGTATGATAGAAATGGTACGGGTCACTAGAGGCTTTGTGTCTTTGCAGCTATTACCAAATTGAATCTTATAAGTATCTTTTATACAGAATATATATCGACAAGATATATAAGATTCTAAGTTGGATATGAAATTTTAGAGGTTATAATTTTAAATTTTAATAGATGAAGTTGAACTATAGGACTATTAGTATATTTATTATATATATGATTGGTAAGAGTTTATAGCTGCATGTTCTGCAACTCATGCTGAATCGCAGCTGCTTAGGAAACCAACTTGGTTTACTCTACTATAAACATTCGACGGGGCTGGCGTGCAACACATGGTATTCATAGACGAGGCATTTAAGTGTAAAATAGTATCGTTTGATTCTAAAATATTTAAAGCCGCATAATATATCTGGGGTTTAAATATGAGAAACTGCTTTGATCGTACTAAACATCACATATAGAAGATATGAAAACAGATCACTTCATCGTAGTCTATGTTAGTAATGATGTTTAATACAAATGAAAAGTTGCTCATCCAAAAAGTACCTATCTGTACGTTAATGAATACAACTAACAATAAAATCTATGGGATCATATAGACTAAAATGATAGCTACTTTATATTAATATTACAGATTTCTGATATTACTTATTGTATTATAATAAAAGTATAAATATAGTGTTGGTAAATTTTTAATAGTAAATAAAAAATAATTCTTATATTGCCATCTATTGAAAGTGTGATAGGGTGTAGGAATATGATTCTCTTGAGTAAGAAACGACTGAAAATCAATCAATTACAGTCTAACCAAATTTTTGTATCTCTTTAAATTAAATTTTTAATGAAAACGGCAATAAAACTATATACAATTTTAATTAGCACGCGAAATAAATTTTAATTAACTTGAATAACAATAATTGGAACTGTTTTATATATGAAGTATATCAAGATCACCCACAGTTCAAGGTATATAAGGTGGGTGATTATAAACAATACGAACCACTCTTTAAGTGAAAGAAGTCTTGAAAAATTCTCTATTATTACCATTAATTTAATTATTAATAAATATATATTATTAATATTTAATAAAATAATAAATACTTATAGATTATTTTATTGATTTCATTTTAAATTACTTTCAGTAATTTTAATGAAAGTAATTTTATAGGTCTAAGTTACTATTATTATTGATATCATTTCCATATAAAATTCCAACTTACTTTGCATGTATCCATAATTTCATCAGACCCGCGCAACCAGCAAGGAGTAGTGGTACATACTTGTACGTGATATTTCCCAATAGGTTTACGCATGAACATACTATAAAATGTAGCCACTTCATAAACACGCATATTGGGTAATTCCAAATATTCAGCTACTTTATTCATAGCAGATATACTCAGCCATCCGTTCTGACGTTGAGCCAAATCCAAAAGTGGTATCATAGCACCACGTTTGTGCCCTTCAGGGTAAATGCTTAAAAGTGCTTTTGCACGCTAAGAATAATATTTTAGTTTTTATTTTGTTAATATAATAATTTTTATTACCGTTGCATTTTCGGGAGTAAAGTCAAATGGTACGTCCGGATTGTTTTCAGGGGTGTCACGGTGAACAACCAAATTATCGCTACGGACCACGGCACTGCTAGTAATGGTGCGGATGCCACCGCGCTTGATGATTTCAAATAAATACAAATATTGTCATTTTTTTAATTCATTTAGTATAAAAAGCAGAAAATTACATAACTAAATTAATATTCTTTTACTACCATTAAAAACTCCCACTTACCAAAAAACTAATAGTTTTAGTGGCACAATTTGAAAGCATGGTGAGGCTTAATATCAAAATAAATCTTAACTATTTTATTTATTTCGAAGGGAAACACAATTTATTAAAGATTGTCTGATTTGTAACAACACCAACAACTTTAATTTTTTAAATGACAACCATATGTTTTTGTTTTGACATCAAATTTTTTTTTTAAATTAACTTCAATACAGCGGCTACTACATTTTCTTACAGTGGCTATTATAGCCTACAGCGGCTATAGTTATTAATAAAAACAAAATCAAATATTGGGTTAATTTATGTTGAATCTTCTTTAATACGGAAGGATAATGGCTAACATATACTTGCGGTATACAGAACGGCAGGAGTACGGAAACAGTTTTTGAAATAACAGTTATAAATTCAAATAATCTACAAGAAAAATCTACTCAAAAAATATGAAATCGGGAGAGAAACGACCATCATATATAGCAATCAGCAAGAGAGAATAGGAAGTAATCCGTTGCAATACAAATGGGAGATGGATTATAAGCTTGAGAGGTAAATGGACCGCTAAGCATTTACTGAATATAATCATGTGCCTCAATCGAAATTATTGAAAAGAAAAGATTAACCCAATATGGTTAAAATCTTGCAAGTATCTGCAACGTTTACCACAAACTGATCAATCCGGTTCATGTATGTCGACGAAGACTGTTACAATGCAGATCACACTTTTATCTTTTATAATAGCTTAAGAGATGCAAGCATGAATCGGAACAGTAAATTGGAAAAAGATAGTGGGAAAGGTCGTACCGAGCCATTTGAGAAATAAGTCATACGAGATAAAAGTCCTAGAGACGAAGAAAAAAGATCTGAAGAGGAGAATCAAAAAATAGACTGACAAAGAGAACAGTTGACGTATGTATATAATTAAAAGGTAAAGATGACGTATCTAGGCGGTGTATTAGGAGATAGACCTCCATTGTCAATATAATCTACAGATAATACGTGCAAAAATACTGCCAAAAAATATGTTTTCCGTTGGAATAATTCTGGCTGCATCACTGAAACGTAGAAAATGGCAGGACTGAATGCATATCATATAAAAATAGTATAGTTCTGATTTAATTAAAATGAAATATATGCATATGAATATAGAATATATATAAAGTTTGATGAAGACAGATATAATATTCCTTAATTTAGGATCAAAATATTAAATAAATATTTAAATAACATGAGATGTTAATCAAGAAAAAATTTATGAATCTTTACCGAATTTTGTTAGGTTTAAAAAAATTATTTAAACTTCCAAAACTAATCTGTTAAAAATATCTTTATTCCATCCTCCTCCATTAACGTTTACATATATAACTTTCATACTTAATTATTACAGTTATAAGGCGACTGGATCAGTATTGAAGAAGAAAATAAAAACAATGAATATAAAATGTATTACACTATGAGCATTCAATTTTGATTAGTTCACTAAAGATTACATTCAAAAATTATTATAAATAAATAATAGATGTGGAAACCCGCAGGAAAAAGAAACCGTAATACATTTTCTCTGTGAATGTTTGACTTGGGCGTCCATAAGATATAGGTTCTTAGAAAGATACTCCTTTGATAGTTTCTTTGATAGCTTCTTTGATAGACTGTTCATCAGGGAAGATGAAAGACCTATTAAGTTATCTAAATTCAGCGGGATGGATTTATTCTTCTTGCGAGGACTGTGGTAGCAAAACGGTGAAAAATCGCTAATTGAGGTACATAGAAGTTATCTAATGGCCTGCGACTGCAACCAACCAGTCAATTAATAGGAAGCATGAATGATAAGTCCTTTAATAACACCCTTAATTAAACCAGACAAATATATGAATTTAATTATTTAGCATTGATCACACTTCGAATAACAGCCAAATCTTTTAATAAGACCTTGATTTGAAATAGACATATATAAACAACTAAGCCGGGAAGCCTTAGTGAACATTATTTTAAAGGAAAGTGGAAAATTTATACATATTACTCCCATTAGAATAGAACATTGAAATACACTTTGGTAAATGTAGAAAATAAAAATAAAAAAAAGAAGAATGATAGAAGATGAAGAACATGTATATAAATATCAGGACAATCTGTAAAGAAATTCATGTAGAATAATAGTATTTGGGTAATACCCACTTACAGAATAGTAATTCAAAATTAACTTTTTAGAATATTCTTTTGTCATGCATGAACACAAAGGCAATTTAATTAAAAAATAAACATTGCGAAAAAGTAAAAAACGTAAGAATGATGGAAAACATTAAATAAATTCTACGTTTCGTACGTGAGTTTGAACAGCACAGTTATCAGTGGCGATCAATTGTGCAATTGTGATCCATGCAAGTTCTAAGCAATCTTTGTGTATTGAAGTAAAGGCTGGCATAGTTGTATGCGAACACAAAGGAAGTTCGATGAGAAAACGCTAACAGCAGTAGTTGCTACGTGCTTTCGACTGATACAAGTGTGATGTTGCAACTGTCTACCTTGCAACAAAGTTGAAAAACGAACAGCGTCGAACCAATTTCTTTAAGCCAAATCGTTGCTGGTATCTTCAATATCACAGCTTGATTGCGGATTTAAATTTTAGTAACGTTTCTTGTACACAAGCGGTGGGGTCGATAATTCGATCAGCTCGTCGTAAGTCAAGTCTTAAAATACAAAATCTAAGAAAAGTTTAAGTTTAAATAAAGTGAATAAATTCCATATCGATTCGAAGGAGTAGAACGTTTTACAGCAAAAGGTGTGTGTAGTGCAAATTCGATTCAAGTTATATATATATATATCTTTAAGTAAATAATTATATAATAAAAGTAGTTTAACCGTACAAAATAAAAATCACTCATTTCATACAAACTATATATAAACCGTTAACAATACTTTTCTTCGAAGCACTTCCATTCCATAATTTTTAATCAATGATGCCATGCCGTTTTGGGGTCGACATCCGACTCAAATTAAATAATTGTGCTTGAAATTGTGTCAACCTGTTTTCTTTCCATTTCATTTGAATTCATAATTTGTCTTCGTTTCGTAGTAACGCGTATTTACATTCAAAGTTGTTTATTCACCTGAAGAAAGATGTTCACCTACATAGGTGCTTTGCTCCGTGAGAATCTTCACGGTTGCGGGTGGGTTCACTTCTTCTTCTTCTTTTACTTAATTTGGGTTATTAAGTGAAGACCTCAATTTTGTTGAATAATTTTGTTAAAGTATGCAACAATATATTTACACTTACATTAACTATAATAAAATTAATATTCTTCACACAACTTTTCGGTCATAAATTCTTTGTCGGTTTGGCATTTCTTCGTTCATAATGGGTTACAATTATTAAAAAATATAAAAAATAAATAGTTCACATATGCACAGAAGTTCAAAATTTGGTAGGGCATTCCGTCACGATTTCTGCTTAAATGGAGAGAGATTTTTTTAACAACGTTTAATTGTAGTAAGGAGGGTGGAAGTGGAGTTATAAAATTAGAAGTTTTAACATTGTAAATATTTTATATACTCGTATTTAGAGATTTTCTGCGGAAGTTTTTTGTATATTGATTTAGTGTTTTTAGTGCTGTTAGCTAGCAATTCTTAGATACTTATTTTTTTGTTCTGTATTTTAGTGGAATTTTAGTAGAGCTTTACAATTAAAATGATGTTTCAGAGTTCTTATATTTTTCCTAGTTAGCTGATACTTTTTATAGTCTAATGGTTTATGATTTCATTTGTAGTATCACAACGCGCTATTATTTTAGCTAAAACAGGCTTTGATAGACAAAGAGAAAAATAGTTACAATGTAAATCTATGAATTATGGTAAAAAAGAATAAATTTGGAACAAAAACAGTGCTATCTTGTGTAGCAAAGTTGCTTCTTGCTTTGGTAATGAATAAATTAGATGATCAAAGTCTGATTAAATTACTTTAGTGAATGGTTTTATTGTTTGTATTTCTTTATTTTTTTATATAATCTTTATATTTATATATCTTTTAAAATCTTTAATTCGATCGTATTTTTTGTATATTCCTGTACGTATTTGAGAAAATTCGATTTTGCCTTCATCAGGAGAATGCCTAATATTGTATCTTTATTAATGTATATCTTTATTAATTTCCTAAGACGCTGGTAAAACTCCTTTTAACATCCTTTGAAATAAGAAGTGATAGGTTAGTAGTACATATTCAATAAACACTTTTGTTTTAAAGTCAGAAGATACGAATATTTCAACTTTATTGCCTTTGATATTGATAGTTAGTTCTATCAGTATTTCTTACATCTTATAAGCACGTTTCTGTATTAAATGTTCGCGGTGAGTAACATTAACGTTATTTAGTATTTGCACTATTTTAAGCATTTCGAAATACTCATTTACATGATTTTATTAATCTATCTCAAAAACTTAGATATAAGTACACTAATAGTTAGACAGATCACTTCGATGTATTGATCATCGAACATATATAGTGTATGCGATTAATTTCAAACCTACTAAATTTTTGTTTGAAGAGTATTTTTTTTTTTACTTGAACGGACAATGGTAAATAGAGACCCATGATTTGCTATATCTGGAGAGTCATTGCAACTAATTCAATCAAATTAGGTAATTAATAAACATAAGAATATTCCTTAGTTCAAAGCCTTAATCTTCATTTAAGTCGAAAAAGTTGCAAGTACTGGATTCAGTACTTGCAGATCGGATAAGTAGAAGCGGGTAGGTTAAGTGAATATGTAACTTTGCTTTTAAAATAACTTATTTACGTAGCTATCAGTATTGCGAAAGAAACCAGTGAGTACAGTTAGTTCAAATTTATTTATACTAAGAAAAATCCCAGTTTATTTGTTTTTGACTTTAATAAGCAGTTCGCATTGCCTCAGGTCTTTGATATTGGTGTAAGGGTCGTGTACTCAATGGGAGTATGTCCAGATAAAAAAACCGTGATTAAACTTAGTTCAAATTTATTTAGACTGAGCAATATATCACCCTCTTGTTCTTGTGTCCAATGAGTTGTGTGAATTACTAAAAAACTTTGGCAGTGTCATTAGCGTAGTACAATAAATAAAGGTACGTGCAGTTAAGCTACTAATGAGCATCACTATCAGCAGGGCTCTAAATATATTCAAGACGAGTATATTCGATCTAATATATTTTATTCTTGTAATACAGGGTTTTCGGGAGTCGCCAGAGTTATGCTCGTGGCAGTATTGCTGGCAAGTGTGTTTCCCAGTTTAAAAAAATATAAAAGTGATTATATAAAAAATATTAGCATGTCATTTGTTTTACTTTGTTTCTTAGTTTTTTGTGAGGTTATGTCTATAATAAATATACAAAATAACTTTTGATCTCAGCCAGAAAATATTTTATTATTGAAGGGATTATGTAAAGAAAAAGTTTACCTACCACTTTCTACCGAAAAATAGTGATAAATCATATTGTATTTGAATAATCAATAAACGAAAATAAAATATACAAAAAGAAATTATGTATATTTTTTAATTTGATTATTTGTTAATCTTACATGCCAATTTTCTGATTCACCGCAAATATTTGCAATGTAGATACTGAGCAGTTGGCAGAGGGGAGAGAAGGGTGACGAAATTACTTTCGCTTTATGCTGCACGGACTTCTTTTCGATACGATGTTAATTTATTTCAGATTTGCGTATGCATTATGAAAAATATAATATTTAACATTCCCAAAAATCTTATAAGTTTTTATTCGTATATGTATGTTTATGTAAATACTTAATTTGTTTAAAGTTATGTTAACATTAACATTAAGATTAACATTAGCATTAACATTTCTGCTTCATTAATGAGCGCAAAAAAGAGATTTAAAATATGAAAATAAATTCCTAAGCGCAGAGTGACATACAAAAGCCCACATGCTCGGCTTTGCTTCGGTTGATATTGTAGGAGGGCGAAGAGTAAAATAAATATTCATAATAAACTAAAATATTAAAAAAAAAAGTTTTCAAGAAAATCACTTTCTATTTTTCTAAATGTTTAAATAATTAATAAATGCTAATTTTTGTGAAATCGTTATGAATCGATTTATAAAATTTTTCTGCTTAATTTTTGTGGAATGCGGCATGTGTTAGGCACTGTTTTGGCTATTGTAACTTATACCATATACCATATACCCAATACTAGGTCTGCCTTTATTTATTTTATTCATTTATTTAGTCTTTTTATTTAATTTTGATTTTTAAATTTCTTGGTGAAATTGTAAATATTATTTTAGCTTTTAAATTTATTTATTAATAACACAAATACAAATAATAGAAATAAATGTGGTTTATGTTAGATTTTATTGAAGGCAGAGAATTACCAATACCAATACAAAACAAGTCTTATGCAAAATTTAACCCACTTGCGCTTCAATGCAAGGCACTTGGCCAATTTCTTATCAGTAAGCAACCAACTAACTGATTTCTTAAACCAAATTCCATTTTTCCAGAAACGCTTCTGGTATTTATGTGTTCTTAAGAATTCATTTGATTTGCACTTAAAGCAAAAGAAACAAGAGAAGATACATTTTTTTTATATGCTCAAGTGATTGGTAGAAAGTTTTGTTGAATCACGAAGTCTGTTTTTTTTCTTAATATTTTTGTATTATATTTTGAATTTTTTTTTTAACAATCATTACGGTTTATATTTTTCACATATGCATATGAGGAAGCACAAACAAAAACGTCTAAAACAGTTAGCCAACTCAGTATGGACTTATGTGAACTAATAAAGAAATAAAATAAAATTTATAAGAGCTACAAAATTAGAAGCACTGCAACACAGTAACGCTGAAGAAATTCGAACGAACCTCTTTAGATTTCGCACTTTTTGTGTGCGCATATTTCAGTGTTGGCGCTGTGTTAAGTGCTAAAAGCAAAAGTAGTAAAAATAATAACAATAACAACGACAATAACAATATTAATGAAAAGAATCACATCGATTGCAACAACAACAACAACACTCATGCTACTTAACTTATCAGTGTAGTGGATTTACGAGTGTCATTCATGGCGACTCAAACTACTTATGTATGTTTACGGTACTCGTTGTGGCAACGAGTTGCAGCATGTTTGATTTGGTCAATTTGATTCTTATTTAGTTTTTTATTTCTTACTCTCTGCATTTTGAACCAATTGTGCTAAGCAATTATTTTTACTAGAAGCTCATATTAAATATGGCTATGGCTAGAGGCCAAACATAGCAATCGAGCTTGTTGTTGCTGTAGTTTTTGCTGCTGACCATTATTATTTGATTTTTTGTTTTGGTTGATATTGAATTTGGTCACACACTTTCTATCCGTATGCGCAACAGCAACAGCAACAACAAAAGAATAATAAAAATAACAACAAATTTATAACAAAAGCAATCAGAAGCAACAACAATATGAGCAAAAAATTTCACCGTGAATTACAAACTAAGAAAAAAAAACAACAATAACAAAAACAAAACAACCAATAAAGTAGCAGCAAAAAATGTCTGTTTCTTCCACACATTTTCCATAAGTAAATTCTTATTGCGACGTGCTCTGCCGCTGCGTACCGATCGCCTTTTAACGTCTCATGCTAAGCACATTCCTACGTGGATTTTAAGCTTACACGCTTATACATACATACGACAGTCAAGTGCTTGTAGTTTTTACAAATGTAAACTGTAAATTTACATGTGAACTTCATTAAATAATTTTGTCGTTTGTCGTTTGACGTTTGACGTTTGTTGTTACCAAAAATTATTTGTCTAATTTGTTTTTTCAATTTCACTCTTATTTCAACTTTTTATTTCAGCTTTTTGTTATTCTTATGTCCACTCTTTGTTGTTTCTTGAAATGTGTGTCATTAATTATTAAATAAATACTCGGCCGCTCGGTTGAGCTCTTCGCCTGGTCCATTAGGGTTCACTTATGATCACATAAGTTATTAACAGTTTTTGCGTGCAGAGTCAATATTGGCTTTAACCTTTGCGTTTTTATATATATTTTATTTTAATTTTTTTTATATATTTTTTATTTTTTTTTGTATTTTTTTGTATATTTCATTTCGTTTTCATTTTTTAAGGTGTAAAGTGGTGAAATTTAATGGCATTTCTTTAATGACTTTTCAACATGTCAGTGGCGTCATTAATTTTGGTTTTTTGATTATAAATAGTTTGGCTTATCATTATATCTATTATGTATTAAGATATTCACGTAATATGCACAGATTAATGTTTTATTAGAAGAAAATATTTTTTAGTTATGTTGCAAAATATCTCTGCTAATTAATGACGTGACTTAAAATGTTGTATCTTCATTGCTTGTTGTAGCTTCAAGCTACGATTTGCCTGCTAACTCGTTTTAGAGTTTACAACTGCTTAGAGGTCATTTTACATAAATTAATAAAGATTGCCATAGGCGTCTTATGGTAATCATAGTAATTTTGCTAGCGTCGCATTTTTAATATAAGATTTGCGATCTTGTCCAAAGGGCGCCTTCTTCGTTTTTACCTAACCCGCTTACATAATAGATTTTATAAATGGAATTTTTGCACATTACTTTGATGGATGATTAGATTTAAAGGAATCATATACCAAATCATAACAACCAACGTATAAGCTTACAACATTTTTGACAATAAAAATCTTTTCTTTATCATTATCTATAAAAATTATATGTAAATATTTGTAAGTTGTGTAAATAGACAATAAAATATATGCTGCTCTAAACCATGATTGTGCTGAAATGGATCCAGTATTTCTGTAAAACGCCCCAAATTATCTTAGAAGACTTTGTCAGGATGTTGCAGAATAGATCTTAACTGTCGTGGTATTATTACTTCTAATAGTAATAGAAGTGTGCAACAAAAATGAAGTAGTTTTTCTTTTTTTTTTTTATTCAACTGCTTTAGGTTAATTTGCGATCTTTAAGTGCAAATTCGCAACCCGTTTTTCTTTTAGACAACTGGGCAGTAAAGGGTTAAAGTTTAAAAATTTAGATCTTAAACGGTAAATAAAAAATATTCATTTTAAGAGACATGAATTACGTATTTTCGTGGTTATCTTACAATTCTTCCCAAAAATTCTATTCATTCAGATTTTTCTGTAAATCAGCCTGTAGAAAAAAATTTGTTTTAAAAAATATTTAAAGAATCCCACTTTTAAATAGAAAAGTTTAAGAGTTGGAGTTTAGGAAACGATATTTTAGACAAAGATGTTTACTGAAAATACGAAATTAGTATCTCTTAAAATAAACATTCTTTATTAACCCTTTAAAACCACAATTTTTGAACTTTGAACCCGTGTTCAAATACTGAATGTATTCAGTAACCTTCAAAAGTTAGTGCTTTGTGTTCACTTTAAGTCGGCTTGCATCAAAAATGAACTGTCTTGATTGCACTACTCCTTTTTCTGGGAGTCTGTGACCCATTGATTTCTATTCTATTCTATTTCAGGTATTATTACACTGTTCAAGAAAAATATTTAAGTATTTCATATTGTAAAAATTTTTTATTACCTTTAATTCTTTTCACATCTTTAACATTTATATTCTCAACTTAATAATCTTTTTTTAGATGAGATTCCAAATAGCGCTTCTCTGCACTTTACTCGCTTGTCTCGCTACAAGCAACTTAATTGAGGCGAAAAATGTTTATAGACGCGCAGATAAAATATCAGAACATTTTAAACAAATCAACTTGGCAGAGGATGAAATCGATCCAAATGTAGCGCCAGAACCACCAAAAATTGAGCATGTAGAAACTGAAGATATAGAAGATATTACAGGAACTGCACAACCAGAAGATGAAATAATTGATGAAGCTGCATTGGAAGCACTAAACAACGCAGATACGTCGGCTAACGAAATTATTAGTACAAATGGTAATGAAGTAGAACCAGTAGCAGCTCCAGCTGCAGCAGTAGTGCCAACTGCAGCACCTGTTTCCAGTACTAGTCCTGCTATTTCTAGTACCACTCCGGTAAAAAATGAGGATGATCCCAGTACTATTAGCAAATATTGCAAATGTTCAGATACGCACTGTGACTGTTGTCGTACTTTCGGTTTGCCATTGATTCCAATTCGTGGTCCTGGTTGTGCAAAAATTACATATTTAGGTGATGAAAAAATGTCAGTCTCCATAAAATATGGCGATGTTACCTTGGCTACAAGAACGATTTCTGGTAAATATAACAATAATATTTAAAGTTTTTTATAAGTAATAAAAATGTGATTTGTTTGTATACACGTTGAAAGGTAAGAAAGCTAAGCCTATTTGTGTGGGATTACCTGGTGGCTATTCAAAGTTCTGTGGACGTGTGTATGGTCTTTCGAAATCTAAAGAAAATTTCAAAGCTTGCTTAGGATTTGAATTGCGTGCAGAAGATGAAATTGAGGCTGCATTGCGTGTATCGTGTTTCAAATTTGGACCGGAAGGTTTAAGAGTAGCTGAAGCTGAGCCATTGCCAAGTGAAGTAAACAAAGGCGAAGACGATGATGATGATGACATTTTCGGCTTTGGAGGTAATATTGGATTATTTATAAGTTCTATATTTATAAATTTATTTTTTCCTTAAATATATAATACATTTCTATAAAAAATATTCAATATTCTATAAACAAATTCATAAGCTAATAAGAACAGATAAAGCTAATTAAAGTTAATTTTTTATGTTTCTAGAAACGCGTAATACTCGACTTCATAAATAGAATGTTGAATAAAAATACTCTATATATATTGGTTTAAAATGAATGTCTAGTTTTATATAACATTACACTCGTATAATAATCAAATGAAAACTTTTATTTTTAGTGTATGATTAAATTTTTTTATATTTTTACAGCTGGTGGTGATGATGACGATGATGATTATGATGCCGATGAAGATGAAGAAGATGATGAAGACGATACTGATACTGATGCTGACACTGACGATGAAGAAGAATATGGTGATGATACCCAAGAGGCACCCGAAGATGCTGATTATGGTGGATTCAGGTAAGATAATGATTAAAATTTTATTGTATTCATAAAAATGTGTTAAAATTCTATTTGCTTAGTCTGGGTGGGCTATTAGATGAATTAGATGATGATGAAGATGAAGTTAAACCAACGGTTGCCAAGCCAGTAGCTACACCAGCTGTTGATCAAACACGCACCGTTCAAGCTGGCAAAGAAAAGATACAAAGTAAGGAAGATAAGGGCTCAGAAGCAGCACCTGCAGAAGGTAGTGGTGTAAGTGCTGTAGAAGAAGCAATCGCTTCAGTTGTAACACCCGCCACACCCGAAGCCGTTGCTGCAGAAACAACAAAAAAGGGTAAAACGAAAAAAGCCAAAAAGAATAAGAAGAAGAAAGCCGCCTCTGCCGAGAGTGATTTTGCCTATGAATTCCTGAAGGGCATACTGGATTTTTTCGAGTGAGCTTGCAAAGTGAATATGCAAGCATGTTGGGAAATAGTGTAAATACGGTGTACTAAAGCGTCTATTAGGTGCTAAATTAGGATAAGTTTAAATTAAAAATAAAAATGTATTTATTTATTGTAATATTTAGAGAAAATGATTAAAATTCACAAAATTTCAATTCTTGTATGAATATAAAGAATAAATTAATATAATCTGTAAACATAATTATGGATTAATGTAGAGTATTGTATTTTGAGTGCAATTTTCAACAGAAATTTGCAAAAAATTAAAATTAAACACAATCGAAGGTACATAAAAAAAGTGAGTGATACCTCTTTATGACTAAAAGAAACTATTTAAAAGTCATACATATAGTAAGTAAAACATATGCATAACAGATGTGTCTACAAAAGAATAGCGACATCTTTGAAACAAAAATAGGCAACTTCAAAAATGAACTTTCAATTCGTTGAACTTATGTTTCCAAAATGTAGCTGTAGTCTATAAGTTCGTTCTTATTTAAAGCACGACAAGTGCTTTGGTTAGTGTCACTATTTAAATAAAAAAGTGACAACAAAACCTAGAACTTGAGCACGGAAAGTTTGTGCAGTCTTGGCTACTTGTGAAAAAACACGATTAGTCATCGCTTCTAATTTAACAGGCACGAGTTCTAAGCCTGGCACTTGCAGTCCAAACAAATTATATACGGACTATAAACTAATTATAAAGAAATTCGAATATTTCCTAAGACCACTCATGATGAGTACTTGGCAATACTCGAAACAGCGTTGTATGGTCAGCCAAATTTAAATAAAAATTTTTGTCCTTGTCTTTTGTTTGCTATTCGAATACGTCTCACTTATAATACATAAGTTACTTTTTTAAAGAAAGATTTTCTTAGGAATTAGACCTACTATCAATCTACTCTACCCTGTAAACTTCGTAGATTCTCGATAAATCTTTTACATGGTAACAAAGCTATGTTTACACTCTACTTCTATAGAAGACAAAGCCGCACTAACGTCAAAATCATACAAACAACTGATAGTTGCTGTACGAAGAGTATTGGTATTGAAGAAGCATGAACTCTGTTAACTGTTTATGCTTACAATCTAAACTTTGCTTCAACTGCATACGAAAAATGACGAGAAAAACAACTAATAAAAAAAATTTATTCATTCTTATAGCGAAAAGTTGCTTGTGGTCATTTTTTTCAAAACAGACGAGCTTTTACTACGTTTCTTAGTACAACTTCCCCTTGTAAGCAAAACACTTGCTGCTCCTCAAAAACGTGTTCGTAGTAAGCTTTTTCTTGGTTAAACATTTAGCCATGAATGAAAAAGCTCTATTGTTTACAATTTTGCCAGCTATACTTTTTGTTGTAAATACGCATAATAACTGATAAGAGACATTGTTAGTGTGTTATTGCCACAGATGTGGGCAACTGACGTGGAGAAAGCGAAACGCTCGTATTGAGTTGCTGAGAGAGAATTGTTCATTAACGAGAATATGTATTGCCTTGAAGTTGGTATGAAAATATAAATATCTGAAAGGAAGGCTCAGTTTGTGGTTGCCTTCAAAACGATTCGGTTTAGTAACGGAGAGCACAAATCAAAAAATATCAAAATATTTTGAAATTGTTTACAATTAGAAAAGAAGTAAAAATCAAAAAAAAAAATTAACCATTAGAAGCATATATTAAAAATTCTAGTTACTCAAATGAATGAAAGAATTTTGTAAACACATACATAATTAATGAATTTTTTTTTGAAATATGCGTTGTTTTAGTTTCATTTAAAAAATTATTTTTAAATCAAGGATAAAAATCGCGGGTGTGATTAATATTGAAATAAAGTTAAAGAGTGAGTTTGTGAAGGTGATTGTTATTTATGCATAACTAAATTTATTGTTATAATTATTAAGCAACAAAAATCGATAAATTAACAAATGAACAAACGTTATCAATTTTGTAATGAAAGTAAAATAGTAAAGTAAATGATAGCTTTAATTAAAGAATATTTTGTTTTTATATTTTCTATCTTCTTATTAGAATTTAAGCCTTCTGTACACGCATTTGGCACATTTTTTATTTTAATTTATTCGATTATTATTTTTCCATTCAATAAATTTATATGAACAAAAGTACATTTCTACGTTTGGATCAACTATTTGTATTTGGAATATCATGCAAGTGTATTTTAATAATTTTGTTTGAATATTTTAAATTGGCACCTAAGTGTATGCTATGAAAATTATCGTATTCATTTCTCATTTCTCATTCTCTATTACTATATTTGTCTAATTGATTTGTTATTTCTTCTTTAATAAATAATTTAAGCTTCTTTACAATTTTATAATTTTATTCAAATAATATTAAATATTGATTCATGTCTATTTGAGTCTGCATATGTGATTACAGCCCACACAATTTAAAGTGGTAACTCTCTCCTGGGTCTAAAATTTTTTTGAATAAAAAGCATTTTAAAAAAATATTTTTCATTTTAGGCTAAATTAAGTTTTTATTTATTGTTAGAAACTTAAAATTTTCGATGTAAATAGATAGAAAACATACTAATACAGTAGTAAAAAAAAACAATCAATTATTATTAAGACGAAACGAATCGAATACAGTAATGTTAGCTTATGATTTTAACAGAATATTCTATTTGAATTTAATAGAACGCACTCTATCATATTATTGCAATCTGCCTTGAAGACCTGATTAGCAATCGGTTTTACTGACGACGTAAGCAATCAATCGAGATCATCAGCTCAGGAATAAATTAAATAAGTTGTTAAAACTATTAAAAGCGAAAGGTAGACACACAAATTTATCTTGTATAGTTTAAGCTTAGTTTTAGTTTTGACTAGATAAATTTAAACTCTTTTTTACAGAAAATAGTTTCTGAATATGTCTGAATTTTCTTATATTAAAGCCAGAAAATAAATGAACATAAAAGGTAAGAGTGTCTAATCCTTTCTTTCTATAAGAATAGTCAAATATTCCTTATTTCAGCAAAAAACGAAGCAAAATAACACAAATATATCAACAATATTACTGTATGTTTATAGGCGTTCGTTAAATTGTAAAAATATTTCGAAGTTTCAATATAATGTGGTTAAGATGGTTTAGAAGCCTTGGATTATGCGATTTAGTACATTTTTTAATTTCTTATGTAATGGCAGTAACTGTGCAAATAAGATGAATTTGTTTGAGACATAAGCTAGCCTTTTCCCGGTCTTTCGTGTTGTTGTTTGCAATAATTGGGTGTATTATAATATTAGATGTTACTGCAGGGCCGAAAAAACTTGATACAATATAACAATATAATATGAATTTATAATTGCGACTTTAAGTTCGTTAGACAGTAGAGATTTCTAAGTTTTAAATATTTATCATATTTCATGTGAAATTATTTTATACCATTGCTTTGAGATTTGTCAATTAAGAGTTAATAGAACCTGACCTGTCCGAATTTCAAACGGCTTAATGCACTATGTTTTTTAACCAATATGTTTTTTTGATTAGTACTTTTAAGAGTACAGAGAATTTTAGTTTTGAATTAGCAAACACTATCAAAATAACTATAAAAATCAATAGCAACGGTTTTAATTATAAGTCCTTCACCGACTGGTACATCTTAGATGAGTAAGATATATGAAATAAAATTCTTTTAATTGGTTTTTTGAATGAATTTCTGCTATGGATATGTCTTAATCAATAGCGAAGGTTTTAATTAGAACTTCTTTAGCGACTGTTAGGTCTTAGATGGGTGGAACTCTACTCACCTATCAAAGAGTAAAACTGCCCTACCCAGATGCACTAACTCGGAAAAGACTCAACAGAATACTAATATCCCTACATGAATGCAGTGTGGATATACTCCATGCAAGTCCATGCTTTTGAGTTATTGAATTGAGAGTTATTATTCTTTGCTTCATTGTTGTCAATATGGATCTGTTATTGAATAATGTTTCTAAAATTTTTAAAGCAAATAATAATAAAACTAACCGCATTTATATATAATATATATTCAAAACCAATAGAATGACGTTTGAAGACCTCATCAACATCAAAATGCATAAAAACCTAAGCAAATTGGTTTCAAATTATCAGTTTCACAAATAAAATAAAAAAGTCAAAAATAATTTGAACTAAATTTGCAAACTAAAGTCATTCGAGTATGAATTTGACGAGTGAAGTGAATTTCGTCGATATTTGAAAAAATCCTGCAAATTTTAAAAAACTAAGTAAAGTAAAGTAAAGTGAAACCAAAGAAACATATTCCGAGAGACAAAAAATTTGCATAAATGTTAAATACTTAAAACGAAAGTTTTAGAAAGTGCTAAGAATAATATTTTTTATTTGCATTAAATAAGAAAAAAAACAAAACAGATATTAGAAGTGCCGAAAATGTAGTTGATGAGTTTGGCTACGGAATCAGAAAGAAGGCAACGCGAAGGACCTATTATGTGAGTTTGGTAAGTGACTAACGTTACGAAAATCTAATTTTGGCTTATTTCGATTTGTTATTCAATATACAAGGATCTCTGCCTTATTTACATTAAAAAAGGTTGTTATGCGCTAAAATACTCGTACAGAAAATATGCTTCATTGTACCAAACAAAAGTACTATTTCCATCCTTGTTGTTTTGAAATGCGATATGTTTTCATTTTAACCCAATTTTGACAAAAAAGCTGAAACTGCAAAAAATAAATAATAAAGCAGCAATAACAACATTATTTTTACTTAATAATGTTAAATTTGATATTTGATATGTGAAAATAACATGGCAGTCGCTCAGCAGACAAACATTTGCAATACATGAAGGACATGAGCAAATTTCGCATTTGTACTGCAATGTAATTATGTGACACAAATGTGATATATAAAGTTACTTCAGTGAAGATACATCATTATTTATTTCACATCAAACAACTCTTAAAGCGTTGTTGATTTCGTTTCGTAATAGATTTCTAAAGTATCAAAATTGAATACGAAATGCTTTCAGGACATACTAAGATTGCTTGCTATTTGTGGATTTCGCATTCAAATCAATTACTGTGCGGACTTATTAATTGATCTGTGC